AGAAAGAGAAGAACAATTTAAGATGGATAGAGATAGAATTAGAAACTAGTATGAAAAACTTTACAGCAAATGACTACATTTCAGGTAAATGTGATAGATACAATTGAAAAGGTTATGAGAGGAAAATACGGCCCTAATATGATTTTAACGATGAGTCAGGTAAACATTGAATAGGTTACTATTGTATTATGAATTCCAAGAGAAGATTCAAATGTAATATGCACGATAATGTAAATTAGGATGCAAAGAATGTACAGTTAAAACCAAAATCAATCGAATAAGATATTATTAAATGTGTATATAACTAAAAACTATAAGTATAACAAAAACAAACGTTTCGGCGAATAGCGACGGAACAAATAATTTTATTGAAAATGTAACGGTTAACAAGAATACCGTAAATTAAATACAATGAAACTTTGTCATGAACGGAAAATTTTGCAATTTATTAAAAAGGCAATTATTCTACCTCTTAAAACTGGGAAAAATATTTATTTTAGTTAAAGAGTCCGTGGCTAATTTTCGTTCGTAACTGCCGCGTTTGATGTGGTTCTCAAAAGGGAATACACTAATAATAATTGGTTCTACTACTTTTGCAAGAATTAAAATCACAAAAGGACACGTTCTCTTCAAAAAGGATTAATTTGATGTGTTAATCCTTACGAAACGTTAATCTGAAACCGTGACAGGTTATACTTAAAGTTCATTCTTAAGTTCACACGTCTCCAAACTCTAGTTCATCTTTTGAAATAAGGAAGTCAATAAACCCAATTCACTTGTTCATAACATTACCTATCCCTATTGTAGCGGTTATTAAACAAAGTGAATCATTTAATTTTACGGAAACATTACTATTTTTAGTTTTTGTTTATGTAATTGCATAATTATGTTTTGCATTATGCGATTAAGTAATTTTGTTATTATTAGACATTCTTTTTTGCAATAATCAGTTTTCTTGCAATAAAGGGTAACTTCCAATCGTGATATTTCTGGATATCACTTTGCGACTTGTGTCAAGTGATTATGAAAGACATTCATAAGATTAAATAAACTTTTTAAGAAAATCGATATATAGATAAGTACATATAAATTATAAACTATTTTTCTCTTTATTATGTTTCAATTAGGGTTTTGTGTTATAATTTTTTTGAATGTTATGTAATTCTAAGAAAAGCATAATGGTGGAAATTTTAGACTTCACGTTCTTCTTTAGGATAACTAATTGTAAAATGAAACGAATTATTTAAAAAGAAGCAATTGTTTGTCTGTGTTTTATAGCCTATAACTACAGGTATATACTAAAGTATCCCTTACAGTAACAATAGGTAAATAAAACCATTGAAATTGTATACCGCTGTCAAAGTAAAATCTTCTTAGAAAGGGTCGTTTATTATAAGTAATATTTATTACTGAGTATGTTAAATTGATGGTGACGACACTTAGTCAATAAAAACATCAGTTGATGTAAAGTTCTTTTGTTAATATCGATTTATTGGAAACGAATTCACTAGTTGATAAGATTACAGTGGAGGTTTAAGAGTCGTAACTAATTGTAAGGACTACAATACATTCCCATAACAAAAGGCAGTGTATTTACGATTTTAGTAATTTTACAACTTACATATCACTTTCAATTGAAGAGGTACCATACGAACATTGTCACCTGAAAGACGATATATCTACATAACTTATGCGATCATGTAATAATTCGTTGCTTCACAAAGTTGAACCAGTTTTTGTGTTGTATCTTGCAAATAAGTAATTTTAAAATTTTGAAATTGGCAACTTTCCTGAATAATATTGCATTTGGTCAAACTTGAAATACTTGATTAGAAAGAAGTTACATAAAATATATCAGACTGTTTGTTAGGTAACAACCTAATTTCAACTAAGTATATCTAGTTTGATTTTTAGCGGCCTTATTGAGAATTTTAACTCCTTTTTGTATTTTTTCTTAATTCACAACCGATTTGCTTGAACACAAAAGAAATATTAGCCTCAACTTATTAAAAACCACTATTTCAAAATGTTAACGAGTAATGATGATTAATTAGGGAAACTGAATTAGTTAAAACTAATTAATTAACCTACAAAACCTGTCATTATAAAATGTTCCATTTTTAAAACTTACGTAATTACTTGAACATAAATATGTAAATATGTACATATAAATGAGAAAAAAATTAAATAAACTATATGAAAAAAAAAATTAAAAAGAACAAAACTGTTTTTTTGGAAAATATTTACTATTAAAAATATTGTCACCTTGCAGACTATTGGTATTTATTAATATTATAGGCTTGTTTTAATGGTTTGAACTCAAAAAACTCGTTGAAAATCCGTCAATCAAGATTATTTTGAGAAAAGATGGTAGAAGTTTGTACAAATTTTAGCATATGACGTCGTATTTTTCAAGAGGTGATATTGCTCTATGATCATTGTATGCAATAGAATATCCCTATTTTAGGTTTTCAAAGAAAATATGACAATGTAGAGGCTATTTCAAAAAATTAGAGGTATCTACTGAATAGATGATTTAAATATTTTTGTTATTTGTGCAAGAGCGACATAAAAATGTAACAGTCAGATGTGACATAAAAAAACGGAAATTATTTTAATAATACAGCCAGATAGTTTTATAACTTTATTTGTCGAAATCCTTCATTCTATAAAGTTCATGGTCTGTCCGAGGGTCTGTCGAACGTATTCACTCACAATTAGCGACAAACCAAAATGTCAAACAGGAACTTTAGCTTTTTTGTTTTAAGTAGGGTTTAATTTTCGTACCTGCAGCATTACCTTCAGCTAAACCATTTAAAGGACCTTGACAGTCACACTATTAATGAATTGCTGTCTAATCACTAGTATTTGTTTGCTATGCATGTGTGTATATACGAATGAACCAAAAATGTTGTTTCTTTTTTTCTATACATTATTAAATCGAGGCAAGCCTCTTGTTGCATTCACTTATGTCCTTCGATAGACTAGTGTAACGACTTCATGAATATTAACGGCATTGTCAGGAACGATATCAAAAGCGTTTCCTTGTAAATTAGTTCGTATGAATGTGTTAGTCTGTAATTATAGTGATTGATTTTAAATAGTTCACTTTCATAATAATAATATCTTAATAACTGCCCTTCCAATAAATATATACATGTATGTATGCAATACGATGTGCGTAGACAACAAAAATTGCCCATTTGAATTCTTTACAATTAAAAATCTATTAAACTGTCGATAAATATGTAATTACCAAAATATTTACGTGCCTAATGCTAATCTGTCGTCTTTTTCGATAAAAATAGATCATGAACCTCAAATTACAATATAAGTCACTAAATACAACCCAAAATTCCCAAGAATTTAGATTAGATCGTAGATGATGTTATCGCGATTTTTGATGTGTATTTCTTAAAAATTTTAGATTAGTTTCTAACTGAGGATGGCATAATTGAATTCCGAAACGCATATTAGACTTCTAGACGTTTTTATATATTTATTATCAATTGGTCAAACATTTTAAACGAATAAAAAAGTCACTTTAATGTAAATTTGTCCTTCATTTTAAAATAATTTTCGGTACTTAACAAATTTCATTCCTTCAGGACTTCTTCTCCAAAGTTTCTACCGTTATTCTCTGACGGTATCTTCAAACATTAAGGATGTTTGGGAGGTATGTTAAAATGCAACGAGACAAATACAAATTTGGAAGAACGTTCGTCATTCAATTCTAAAACTCCTGTAAAAATTACAAATCGATTCACTAAACCGTTAAAAAGTTATTGAAATTTTAAAAAATTGTAATTTTACACGTCATTTTATGGAGATTCGTTAACCGAACAGATTAAATTTATTTTTATTAACAGAAAAAAAGCTACCAGAAATTTCAAACTTTTATAATAAGTAACTTGAACTCTGGAGAATC